CTCTTATCCACATCCCCGCCCCCTGACAGCCCCCCCAGGACTTCCACTCCCAACCCTCCCTGTTCCCCATCCCCTGACCGCTCCCCCAGAACCTCTGCCCCATCCAACCACCCCCTCCTTCCTGACTGCCCCCCCAGAACCCCCGGCTCCCTTACCCAATCCCCCAGCTCCCTGCCCCCTTACCAGCAGCAGAAGCTTACAGCCGCGACACCCGGCCAGAGCCAGCTGCGCTCCCCATGCTGCCCAGCAGGAGCAGCATGCCAGAGCGCGGCCCACGCAGCGGCATGGCTGCAGGGGAGGGGCCAGGGACTAGGCTCCCCGGCTGGGAGCTCAGGGGCCAGGCAGGACGGTCCCACGGGCCATAGTTCGCCCATGTCTGTAGTAGCCTGTGAGCACAGTCAGATCCTGTGAAAAGCTAGAGAGTTTTTGAAAGAGGCTTGGGGCTGTAAGCAAGGAAACTTCTCCTTTTGTTCTTGGATCCTCTTGTGTTCAGAGAAGCAGGACTTTGTACATTCCTTGTAAGTAAGCAAGATTGCATCAAAGAAAATACCAGACTCCGTCATCAATTTCTACTCCCATCTGGAACATTCCCAGCACCTCAAAATTTGACAAGCTGCTCAGGTCAAAAGAGGGCAACAATAATAGTAGTAGTAGCAATAGTGGCAAATACTTACATTATGGTAGCATCCAAAAGCCATAATCCTGACTGGGGTACCATTCTGCTGGGAACAGTACAAAAGGGACAGTCCCCTCCCTGAAAGGTTTAAAATCTAATGACAAAAACATATGAAAGAAAGAGAATGGTGATACAACATACAAGCAAATGAATGATGCAGCCTAGAAAGGCTATTGAGAGGCTTTTCTCATGAAAGGTGACTATGTATTGCCCTTGAAGTGTGCCAAGATGGGAGGAGGGTTTTCATTCCTATGTAGAAATCTCTATCACATTACCTGTCAGCTTAGATTTATTGAAGACTGGATGAGTGGAGATTCTTTGTATACACCAGTGAATCTAGAGAGGGAAATGTGTCATTCTAACTTTATATTGCAGATTACATTTGCGTCAACCTCATATTTTAATAAAGATAAACTTAAATCCACTGTTAATGTCACTATATTGGAATGGGGAATGGCCTATAACAATTGTGCCAAAAAACCTGCTCTGTCTCCTGTTTGCCCGGTCTGTAGTAACCCAGTATATCAAACTATTTTTAAAAAATTGTAAAGTTCAACTGGCATGAAATCCCAATGAGCATGTTTGTAGCACGGGTGTTTACTCATTTAAGTACACCTCTACCCTGATATGACGTGACCCGATATAACACAAATTCTGATATAACGTGGTAAAGCAGCACTCCGGGGGGGCGGTGCTGCGCACTCCGGCGAATCAAAGCAAGTTCGATATAACGCGTTTTCACCTATAACATGGTAAGATTTTTTGGCTCCCAAGGACAGCGTTATATCGAGGCAGAGGTGTAATTGAAATTACTTTAGGTTTTTACACTTTTTTTGTTACCTTAAGTTAGGACACATAATAAGAAAACACAGCCACCACTAGCATGTACATAGGTTCCAGTTCTTCAAAGACTAAAGCATGTGCATTACCTCAGACACATGAGAGTCCTGTTGACTTAGGATCAGGGCTTATGGTATTAGAGAACCAAGCATTAGTTTTATTTTTAATCACAGGGACTGACTTTTATTTTTCCCCAGGGGTGCTTCACCCTTGCTCTGCCCAGAGGTCCCACCCCCACTCCTCCCCTTCCCCAAGGCCCCACCTCCCTCTGCCCCTCCCCCAAGGTCCCACCCTCACTCCGCTTCTTCCCATCCACACTTCTTCCAAGGCCCTGCCCCCACTCCGCCTCTTCCCGCATCCTCCCCGAAGCCCCCGCCTGCCCGCCACTCACTGCTCTCCCCCAACCCCTCCTGAGCATCCACTTTTTTTTCCACGGGCTCTCCGGCCTCAGAGCACCATGGAGTCAGCGCCTATGCTTTTAACCATGAAAAAGATTCTACTCATGTCACCTAAAGGCCCGATATTCTCTTTCTATAGTCTAAAGTTAGACAACATGATTGGCTAGAAAGCCAAGATGGGGAGGAATGAAATCTAAGGTCATAAAACTGAGATGACAGTTCAGATATATTTATATGTACAACTAATATCCAGGAAACAATTTAGACTATTGTGTAAAATAAAATATTCTTGAGGCATGGGAAGTTACTTACCATGCACAAGTAAATGCTTTTCTTTGAGATGTGTGGTCCATATGCACATTGCGCTGATAGTGTGCATGCACCTCATGAGCCTGAGGTCAGTGTCTTTTTGGCCAGCAGTATCCATAATATATGCCCCTCAGCCCTTGTGCTCCACAGTGAGGGCACATAAGGGCAAAGCACACCAGCCTCCATTTGGTTCCTTCTTACTGCAGAACCTCCAAAAGAGGAACTCCAAGATAGAGGGGATTGAAAGAGGGATTGTGGAATGTTCATATGGACAACACATCTCAAAGAACTCCATTTACTTGCACTTGGTAAGTAACTTTCCATTCCTCAAGAAAATTTTATTTTACACAATAGTACATTCTTTGAGTGATTGTCTGCATACACATTCCACTGATGGTGACTCCTAAGCAGTGATTGTATTAAGGAGGTGGCAGCTTCATTCATTAAACAATGAATAAAGAACTGCTTTACCAAATGCAGCACCAGCTGGAGGCCTCATTCAGGATGCAGGGTCTCATGAACATTGATGCCCAAATGTCTGATATTGGTAGATTTCACAGCAATGTTGCTGATGCAGATTGTACTCTAGGGGAATAAGCTGTGATCGTGGAGAGTGGCTCTACCTTGGCCACCTCATAGCATGTTCTAATATAGTCAGAAATCTTGTCTGATCGTTTCTGGGATGAAAATGCAGAGCCTTTCGACCTCTCTGTGATGGAGAGAAACAAACGGTCTTGGTGATTGGGTTTTGTTTTGTTTAAGTAGTAACCCAGGGCTCTCCTGACATCTAAAATATGCAACAGATTTGGCTGCATAAGGTTTCAGGAAAAGTAGTGGTAGGTATATTTGTTGATTCAGGTAGAATTCTGTCACTACTTTGGGGAGAAATTTAGGGTGTGTTCTCATGGATACCTTGTCTGTGTACAGTGGGCCAGCCAGTAGTTCTTGAATCTCCCCTACTCTTCTGGAAGAAGCTATGGCAGCTAAAAATAAGTAAGGCATAGCAGGGAAGAAGAGGCCATAGGTTCGAAGGGTCTCTCCATGAGAGCTAAGAATACCATCTTTAAGTCCCGTGCAGATACAGGTTCCTTGATTGGTGGGAATACCATAATTTGGCCCTCCTGGAACTTAACTACCAACAGATGAGAAAAAGTCCTTCACTGGTGGGTGATGACCTGAGATGGCAGCTAGGTTCACCTTAACTGAACTAAGGGACAAGTTCCTATGTTTTAGTAAGTAGTCAAGTATTTGAGGGATGGAGGAATGATGTGGTACCACTAATTTTTTGGTGTCAGCAGTGGGAAAACCTCATCCATTTTGTCATGTTGATTCTTTTCCACTGCTTATTAAAACTTCTCTAACTAGAGTCTGGCATACCTGCTTTGTTGACAACATCCATCCAGCTGCCATGCTGTGAGATGCAGGGACACCAGGTTTGGGTGTAGAATCTGTCCCTGGTTCTGAGACAGCAGGCCTGGGAGCAGAGGTAAGGTTTTGGGTTGAAATATTGACAGGTTCAGGAGGTCTGTGAACCAGAATTGTTGGAGCCACGCTCGAGCTATTAGGATTAGCTTGACTGAGTCCTATTTGAGTTTTTGAAGCACTCCAGAAATTAGAATGGTTGGGGAATAAGCATATATCAGATCTTCTGATCATAGTATCAGGAATACATCTGCTATGGATCCTGGGCTTATTCCACCCCTCAAGCAGAATCTTGGACATTTGTTGTTGTATTGAATGGTGAAGAGGTTGATCTTGGGATTGCTTCAGTCCATGAAAACGTCTTGTAGAATTTTGTCTTTGATCTCATGATCTGGGAGAAAGTGTCTACTGAGGTTGTCTGCAAGAGGGTTCAGCAGTCCAGGTAAGAGTACAGCCGCCCTGGATATCTGCTGTTCGATGCACCATCCCAATGGTCCTCAATGAAGATAGGACCAAGGGTGGCATAATGAGAGGCACATCCAAGTGATGTTTGGAAGGTGTATAAACCAGTTTCAACCAACTCTGCAAGTAGCAGAGGTGAAGTCTATTATGCAGCATCACAAAGGTGCAAG